CTGAGACAGCAGGGATCTAGTTCAGTGTCACATACATACACTGTTCTTGTCTCCAGCAAGCTGTGCACCCCTCAGATCCCTGAGAGGAAGCACCGAGCTCCCAGGGCTGGCACTGGTACCTGGTTTGCCAGGTATGTGGGTGCCCCTGCTGGAGGACCTTGGCAGGAGGGTCTGACGTCTGTTGTTTTACACCATCATATCTCCTTCCAGAGTTCCATGAGTTCTGTTGGTGACATCAGGCAGGTCCTTATCTTCCTTCCTGTGTAGTGAGTGTCTCTGTGGGAGGCACAGCACCAGGCAGAGCGAGGACCCAACAGCACCTGGCACAGGGGGATGTACAGAGAAACCCGGCCAGACCAGAGTGTAATTAGGGAGGTAGCTGACAGCTGGTAGAGGGAGAATGGGTGTTACCACTGGGTATCTGGGTGCATGGCCTGATCTCCCCAAATTGCTACTCAGCTGTCATCCTGGTTGTTTGATAGCAGCAAAGCCTACCTCTTCAGAGATTCAGTAATGATTGTTCATTTTTATGTTTTTCTTTTATTTAAAAAGGCAGAAACCCAAAGAACGGGGTTCAGAGACAGAGCAGGTGATCTTCCATCTGCTTCTTCTCTCCCTAAGTGAAGGGCTTCTGTCGCAACAGGAAGGGCTAGTCAGGTCAAAGCCAGGAGCCTGGGACTCAAGCCAGGTCTCCCATGTGACTGGCTCAGACCCAAGAACTGAAGGCATCTTCTGCTGCCTCCCAAAGGGGATAACAGCAGGGTTAGAAACCAAAAATGCGGCGGGGGCTCAGATCCTTTACACCCTGATGTGGGATGCTGGCATCCAGAATCTTAAGTGCTGGAAATCTGGGAGCCCAGGAGGGCTCCTGTTGGGGTCCCACTGTGCCTGGGCTGCCTAGGGCTGTGGGTGGGTACCCCAGTGGGGTGCAGGCCCTGAGCTCTGTCCTTGTTCCCACTCACAGGGCCTGGAGAAGATCTCTGCCTACATGAAGTCCAGCCGCTTCCTCCCAAGACCTGTGTTCACCAAGATGGCCATGTGGGGCAACAAGTAGGGCCATGAGAGGCCAGGAGACAGGAGGAGCCGTGTCAGCCTGCTACCTAGGACCTGGGATGAGGGGGCAGCTGGTCCCCCTGTGTCCCTGGCACTGCCTTCTTCCTCTCACTCCCTTCTTATCCTCAAAGCCTTTTGCTTCTCTTTCCTCTAACTCCTTCCTGTCCCCAAAATACCCTCTAGCCTCTTCCCCCTCCCCATGCCAGGGAGTTCCCTCTCTTGTCTTTCCTGTGTTCTGTCTGTCAGTAGCTGTGTCTACTCTGAGGAGCCCGACTGGATCCCTGGCCTGGAGGTCCATCCCTAGACTCCTGGAGTCTGAAGGACCAGCACTGCTTGGGGGTATAAGCCCTGTTCCCCCATGTAGTTGTTGTTACAACCCTGTCTGCTCCCCAGTAAAGTCTGCAACGTGTTTCATCAGTGTCCTGTCTTATTGTCTCAGACTCCTTGCACCCACTAGGTCTGTTACTTCTTTCAGGCAACTGGCTGGCCCGTGACCTTGGCAGTGACTGGGTTCATAGGGAATGAAGTAGGACTTTTGGTGTCTGAGACTTGCTCCCGTGTGTGATCCCCTCAGAGCAGGTGGCCTTGTGAGGCACCCTAGAGAACAGAGGTGAACACTTTGTGGTTGGGGCCTCTCATTCACTCCCTGACATGATGGTGTGCTTCCTGTGGGTGGTACCCAGGAAGTAGGCATCCCAAGCAGGGAGCCAGCATCCTGTTGCTTCCACACTGTGCGGGTCAATCCAACTGCGAGGTCTCCAGGCCCTTCTCTCTGCTCTTTGCTCAGAGGCTTTCAGGGTCTTGCCCAGGCATGCCCACAGCAATTCTTGGATTGTAAGATGAATCTTGAGTCCCAGCTTTTCTGGTAATGCCTCTACCACAGCGTCCACTCCATTAATGCTCTGGCTACGTATGCGATCAGGGTGAAGGTCAGGATGAAGCCCTGTGAGAACTGATGAATTTCCCTGCTCACCTATCTGATGAGAGACCGAATCTGCTGTGGCTGGGATCCCTTGGTAGATGGCTTGATTCCTTAGTAAAGGTATTTTCTCTGTTTTTCTGAAGACCATAAATCAAAATGTTATGGGAATCCCCGTGTAAAACTGTTTTCATGCTCATTCTATATATGCATATACATATATATGAAGCCATTTAAGCAAGATTTTAAAAACAGCTGTCAGAGTGTTAAAATATAAGGGACAATAAGGTGGGAGTTGTGGCACAGTGAATTAAGCTGCTGCTTGGCTGTCTCTCCTACCCCACACTGGAGTGCTGATTCCAGTCCCTGGTACTTCAATTCCAATCCACTCCTGGCTAATGCCCTGAGATGCAGTGGGTGATAGCTCAGCCACTTGAGATTCTGCCACCCATGGAAGGCTCACATGGAATTCCTGCCCAGCTTCAGGTGTTGAGGCTATTTGGTGAGTCAATGGAAGATCTCTCTCTCTCTCTCTCTCTGCTTTTCAAATGAATTTTAAAAAAGGGGGGGGGGTTCTTAGTCAAAGAATTGAAAGGAATGACACTATCCAGGTGAGAGGTCGCTCTATAGGATTTGAGTCTATTTCAGTCCTATTTGGGTTACTCTGCATAGTGTCCCTTTAACATGTGGGGACTGTCTACATCTTGTGGTCAGTGGATAGTATAGGTACCTCAATGGATCTGGAAATTTTGGGGAATCCACAAATGAACCACCAATGTCATTATATTTGTGCTGGCTTTCAAAAGTCTTGTTCTAATTGTTACTCGCTCCATTTCAAAGTGTTTTCTCAACTGCATCTAGACATTTCATCTGTTGAGGCTCAGGAGTGTAAGGTTCAGACAGATACAGTTTAATATCTGGTGGGAACAGTTCCAATGCAGGGGCCAGGCACCTGTGTCCCACAAGAGGCAAACCCTGGCACAACCCACTCTGAGGCCAGAGGCTGCTTCCCGAGCCTGGACACAGATAGGGAACCTGAGCTGCAGGAGGGGCCTGTCTGAATGAAGTGGGATGACCCCTTCCTGTCCTATCCATGTCCATACCACACCTTACCCAGGTGAGCTGAAGCCTCTCCTGGCACACTGGGCTGACACCCTGCAGGCCTTGTAAACTGTGGGCTAATTGCCCAGATGGATTTTCTGCAGCGCAATCCCCTTGCCCTTTAACTTTCAGCTGGTTGCCTTTTTAATGTTCCACCTATCGCTTGTCTTATACTCGTGGTCCCTTGTCTTATCATTCAAACAGAGCACAGTGATGGGTCACAGGCTCTTAGCTTTCATTCAGATTTCTGCCAGTGAGTAGAAAGCAGGCAGGGAGGGCATCATCCGTGTGGAGGTGATAGTGCGGTCACTTTGCTGCCACTACCTTATGTACCCTTTGAACTCAGTGCTCAGTGCATGAGGGCATGGCTTAAGCCCTAGGCCTGGACAGCTGAGGTCAGAGCTGGCCACCCTGCCTGGGGCTCCTCTTGGGCTCCATCCTTTGCCCCAACAGCAGGACAGACATCTTGAGTCTGCTGGGACATGGTTCCCCCCTCACTGTCATTCCCTCTGTGAAAGCCACACTCTGTCACCACAGCTGGCCACCTTAGTGCCTTGGTCTGTTTGTGCTGCTGTAACAGAATGGCTTAGATGGAGCAATTTGTGAAGACCAGAGACTTCCTTCTGGCAGCCTCCAGGCTGGGAGGGCCAAGTCCAAGGAGCCCACATCTGCAAAGGGCCTTCTTGTGGCAAATATTCCACAGCCAAGGGCAGACAGAAACAGAATGCCAGCAGAGACTGCTATCAAAGGTACTCCTTTAACATACAGTATTCTCACTATGGTGGCAGTGATTGAAAAAGAGAGTTATTTATTTGGGAGAGTTACAGAGAGAACGAGAAGGAGAAAGGGAAAAAAAGGAGAGAAAGAGAAGGAACGAGACGTAGTGCCAGCTGGGGCGAAGACAGGGCCAGAAGAGAAGAGTCTTCTAGCTGCTGCTGCACTCCCCAGATGGCGGCAACAGCCACAGCTAATGCAGGCCAAGGCCAGGAGCTTCATCCTGCTCTCCCATCACGGTGTCAGGACCCCATCTTCTGCTGCTTTCCTAGGCCAGAAGCAGGGAGCTGGATCACAAGTGGAACTGGTCTTTTTTCTTGAGCTTTGAAGGAGTCCAGAGCCCCAAGACTCCATGGCCCCTTAAAGGTCCTGCCTTTGCCTTGGAGAGGAACTGGTCACTCCAACCAGATGCATCCAAAGCCAGCTGCTTGGCAGGGAGGCTCTTGTGCACCTGCCCCCTTGCTGGGCCAGAATAGGATTTGGCTATTTCACATAATCCTTAAGCAGCTGTCCCAGACTCAGTTCCTCGAGTTCCTTATTGGAACAAGGAGGTTACACCATTTTCAGGATGCTGTTCTTGTATAGGCCTACTGCCCTGGAGGCCTGCAGGAGCTTCTGGTCAGATATTCCTGCCCTTGGTGTGGGGGTACCCCATCCTGGTCTGGCCCAGCAATCAGTCTCCCTAGAATCCAGATTTGTGGAGATGGCACCACAGCTCATCCTCCTTGGGATGAGGCCTGAGCCAAGCTCACAGAGACAGCAGAGGAAAGTACATGGCTGTCTAATTGCCCAAGGCACATCTGCCAAGGGCTTGCTAACTCCTGTGGCCCCGCAGAGGGTAGCTCACGGGTGGGAGACTGAGAAGGCCTGCAGCCACTACCAGTCCCGGGCCTGCGCTTGGCTATGGTCTGCGCACATGTCCAGCTGTCCAGTCAATCCCCGCAGCTGCATCTGACCAGCTCATTCCTGCGGGTGGTGCTGAGCAGAGCTCCGCCCTCCCGGCTGCCAGTGGCTCCCGGGATTGGGGACAGGGCGGGGGGATAGGGCGGATTCGCAGCCAGCCACGCCCCTCGCCAGCCCCCAACCTGAAGATTAACAACCCTGGCTCCTCCCTGAAAGCCCAGTCTTCCTGGACTGCAGCACTAGCAACACCATGCCTATGACACTGGGTTACTGGGACGTCCGCGGGGTGAGTGAGGGGTCTGCCACGCCGTGGGGCTTGCATGTGAATGTGAAGCAGGATAGAATGGGGGTAGTGAGCAGCTGGGAAAGTTTTAGCAATTGATTCCTTTAAAAACTTCACTGCTTCTCTTCCTAGAATTCCTAGAATTCCTGACGCAGGCATGCCAGAATGAGAGACAGGCAGGAGGAGAGGGCATGCTACTAGATATAAAGTGGGGCTCCCCTGGAGGAGATGAGGGCAGTAGTTGGAGTCACTCCAACTTTGACCCCTGACCCTGGTGTCTCCCCCAGTTGGCTTTGCCCATCCGCCTGCTCCTGGAATACACTGGCACCAGCTATGAGGAAAAACATTACACCATGGGGGACGGTAATGCACCTACCTGCTCTGACCTCTGTCCACTGCATGCTGTAACCTAGCAACCCCTGCCTGGCCACCCGTGGCTCACCTATGCAGGCCTCCGTTCCCAGGAGCAGAGCCTCTTCCTGTCTCTTCCTGGTCCTTGCAGGGAGAGTGCGGCCACCCAAGGCATAGTTCTGGGAGGGGGTGCTGGGAACCTGCTTTCAGCATTGCGTCCTTCCCTACAACTCCTAAAAGTTTAGCGATGCGGAGCCCTTAAAATAATTTTTCCCTTCCCCCAGATCTTGAATGTGAGACTGAGGGACTCAGATCCCACATGTCCTGTCTCAGGGGTCTTGCCCCTGACTCCTTAGGAGGTCCAGGGAAAGAGGCTGCACACGGGGGAGGTTTTGTTTCACTTGATCTTCTCCACAGCTCCCGACTATGACCAAAGCCTGTGGCTGAATGAGAAATTCAAGCTGGGCCTGGACTTCCCCAATGTACGTACAGGGGATGGTGTGTTGGAGGGAGTGGGGTCGTGAATGGTGTCTCTGCCTCCACATCCTTCCCATGGTTAGAGGGCTCAGGACCACTGTCACCCTGGTTCTCTGCAGTTCTTTTCTGAAGTTCTATGTCATAGCTCATTCATTCCTGTATAGAGTATGTTTCCAGGACCTGCCACTGGCCAGGCACAGAGGGTGCCAAGTTTCCTGTGTGCCCTGGCTCATGACGGGGTGAGGGGTGCTTGGAACCTGGGAGCCCAGCTGACTTCCCTCCTCCCTTCCCAGCTGCCCTACCTGATTGACGGCACTCACAGGCTCACCCAGAGCAACGCCATCGTGCGCTATCTTGGCCGCAAGCACAACCTGTGTGAGTGGGGCTGTCTGAGGGTGTGGGGCTGTGGCTGTGCCCTGGGCCTGGCGGGTGGGATGCTGAGGGTGTCTGCTGTGTGTGTGTGCTGCAGGTGGGGAGACGGAAGAGGAGAAGATTCGCGTGGACATTTTGGAGAACCAGGTTATGGACAACCGCTGGCAACTCATCATGGTCTGCAAGAGCCCTGATTATGTAAGGGCCCCACTGGAGTGGTGCTGGCAGGTTCAGTGAGGAATTAATTAACCTCTTGTGTTCTCATCGGCATTGCTCCTGTTTGTATGTGAAACACCCAGGAGCACTGATTGTCCAATCAATTTCCTATCTGACCCATACATTAATTCTATGGCCTCTAAAACTTGTAAAGTAAAATCTTTGCAGCAACTTTTATAATCTTATATGTATTCCCAATGCCTCTGGTAAGAAGTAGGTTCTAAGACAGGAAATTTGCTTAAGAATCCCTTTTGTCTAACCTGTGGCCCTTAACAGGCCACCTTTCAATGCAATCCCATCATGGTCAGTGTCCAAATGCAAAGTGCAATACATGAGTTATATTAGTTTAAGATGGGAGCATCTTCAGACATGTGTCATGTTTTCCCAGGGTTCTCTCTGTGTCCCACAGGGATAAGCATATTTCCCCAGTGGGGATCCCAGGGTCACCCAGAGGTCCTGGGTTCCTTTCCCTTCAACCTTGCAGATCACATTCTCATCCTTTGTGAGCTGTGCACATGCCTCTAGCATTCTCCTGCCAGCCCACCAGGTAGAGTTTCGTCTTCTTTGCCAAGGTCTTTTAGTTCTTTGCCTCTTTGCTTTCACCCCCAGCAGAGTCCCAGGGAACCTACAACATGACACCCCTGGGAGTGACTTACAGCAGGATGCTTGGACATCAGAGGTGACAGGTTCAGGGACAGAACTGGACTTCTATGTGATCTCCGGTGGTCTCCCACAGATGGGATGGGGGCCAGTGGGAGTCTCTCAGATGTTGATGGATGAAATCCAAGCAGGAACACGGACCCTGCCACACTCAGGGGGAATGGCTGCTCCCTCAGTCAGCGGGGCCATGTGCAGCCCTGGGCAGGCAGACCCTCTCCTGCAAAATCGTGTCTGTGGGTGCTGACAGCTGTTTGCTCCCTCAGGAAAAGCTGAAGCCTGACTACCTGAAGGGCCTCCCAGACAAGCTGACACTGTACTCCCAGTTCCTGGGGAAGCGGCCCTGGTTTGCAGGGCACAAGGTGAGGCAGAGAAGGGGAGGGAGGCAGGGGCATGGTCAGTCTATCGCTAAGTCCCTGTCTCCCTCCTCCTGGCTTCTGCAGATCACCATTGCCGATTTCCTCGTCTATGATGTCCTCGACCAGAACCGTATTTTTGCTCCTGGTTGCCTGGATGCGTTCCCAAACCTGAAGGATTTCATGGCTCGATTTGAGGTGCATCCCCAACCCTCCTCTCAGCCTCTTCTGGTTCCCTCATTCTGTTCGAGTCCTGGAGCTCTGCTACACACCAACCCCTGACAGCAGGACTCAGAGTTAGCATCCTGCACCTGCTGTGTCCAGTGTATCTCTACAAGTTGTCTCTCCCAATTGATTCATAAGAAAATACTGAGTCAGCATGGGAAAAGCCATTTATCAGGGTCCCAGAGCCCGTCACAGCTGTGCTGGGCTCCCAGGAACCTCTGGTGTGTATGAACAACAGTCAGGACTTCTCTGATTTTTGTGCTAAACTGAGCAGCCTCAGACCCTTGTCTAGTCTGGTGTCCCATGCCAGGAGACTATAGGAGAGGCCAGACTTTGAGCAGTGTGTGTTTGTAGCTGAACTGAGACCGGGTAGGGTGGATTCAGTGTCAGAGACACGCACAGTCCATGTGTTTGATCTCTAGAGCACATTGAACCAGTGAGATCCCCCTGTGCAGGCACTGAGCTCCCAGCACTGTTGGTGCTGGAGTTGTCCACAACTGTGGATTCTCTGCTGGGGAGACTTGATTTGTTTGATGATGTAGGTTTTCTTTCTCCTTCGATGCCTCTTGTTTCATTCTAGTATCCCACATGTTCTGCCTGTGAGATAGGGCAGCTGCTTACCATTTTGTTTATGCCTGTGCAAAGGTGACTCCATGCTGGAACTGAGCCAGTTAGAGAACTGCAAACTCAGCAGTTTGGAGATGGAGGAGCAACAGCTCTTGGTTACTGAGGAGCACAGCCTGGGCCTCACTTCACAGGATCACAGGGACCACCTGGGACTCCATGCATGCTCACAACAAAGCCTACTTGGTTACAGATTTGGGAGTATGAGGCATTAGTCCAACAAGTTGTTCAGTATGCAATGTTTGTTCTGTTCTCCTCCCCACACAGAGAGGAGTCTTCTCAGCTCATTCTCATCAGCTCTGGATCAAGCCATGCCTGTGACCTCTGGTTTATGTAACAGTTGGCTCAGCTCTGTGTCCGGGAGGATGTAGACTGAATCTATGAGCTGGACCATGCGGTACCCAGGGCCAGGCCTGTTAGGTTCTGAACACGGCTCATCATTGCAGGTCTCAGGATGAAGAGAATTGAGATGCAGATAGGTTGTATTCAGATACCAAAGGGTAGGAGTTAGGACTTCCTATGTCAGGGGAGGATTTGAGCCTTACTTTGCCTTTGTTAGTGGCTTCACTTTCTCTGTCCCCCACAGTCAGGGCTTGCTGACTCAATGAGTGGAGATCAGGGATACTCTGCAGGCTGTCCTGGTGTGGTCTCAGCCCCTTAGTCCTGTTGTATGTGCAGTGGCAGCAAGCAGGTAGCCTCATAGTTAATAAGGAGAGTGTGTAGATGGGAGTGGCAGAATCTCTGTGGTGTAGGGAGAAATGGATTGAAGGGTTGGATAGGGACAGGAGCACGCTGTGTCCTGCCTGTCAGCCTATCCGGTCCATGACCATGAGGAAGTTACTGAATGGCTGTGCCCATCAGGCTCTCCCTGAGATGTGATGGCCAGGTGTGGATCATGCTAGAGGTGGAGCAGCCTCTGAAGAGCACTGATATCGCACTTAGCTACATAGCACCCAGCTTTAACGTCTCCTTGCTGATCCATCATATGAAGTGTGGTAAAAGGTACTGTGATGAATAATAAACTCTGCAGGGCTGTGGTCTCATGGAAAAGTCAGTGCAGCCACCACAGCCCTGTGCAATGGCCGCTGTTGGTCCCGCTGGCCTGTGCCTACACTGGGGCTGCGGGAATCCCAGGAGAACCATAGATTCTGAGCTCTGCTCCTGTTTCTGCCCCTGCAGGGCCTGCCGAAGATGGCTGCCTACATGAAGTCCAGCCGCTTCATCAAGGTCCCTCTGTTTCTAAAGGCCTCCTGGACTGGAAAATAGGGCTCTGTAGTGAAGTGAGAGGGAGGAATGGAAGGTCAGGCCCCAGCTCTGCCTCAGTCTTTGTCCTCTCTCTCTTCACTGCCTCCTCCCTAGCCTGTTGCCCCCTGTCCTCTAATCTAGCGCCTCCCATTGAGGCTCTGGCACAGCATCAGCTCTCACCTCTTCCTCAGCTATGGCTCCTTGGGCTGCTCCTCTTGCACCAAGACCAATTCCACAGCCCTGTCTTTGCCATGGGAGAACCTGAGTGACCCTGAGCACCCCCAAACAGCCAAAGAGGCCAGTAGGCCTGTGCTGGCTGTGACCCAACAAGGTTTCCCGGGTACTACCTGCTCCCCAAACCCTTGAACTTCAGTCTGGACCTGTCCTCTTCCCTGGGAACCCTGACTTGGCACTGACCATGCTGGATTCTGTGGTTTTCTTTGTTCTGCTGCTATAGCAGGGCCTAGGGAAGCAACATGCTGTGTGAGTGTCTGGTCAGGCTGGATGCCCTGGTGTCTTGGTCATTTCTGTGCCCTGTGCATGTTGGTCTGCTCCTCACCTTAGGTTTCTCCCTTCCCTGGATTCCTCATTCATTCACCCTGAAGCTCCCCTGCAGCTGTGCTGTTTCTGAGAGCTGCAGGCCTGATGGGGAAGGGGCTGGCAGGCCTTGGACAGATCCCCTCTGGGACACTTCCCTGGATGCTCCCACTAACGTAGTTATTCCTCATCTGTTTTGTCAGAATGTTGCTCTCAATAAAGCATATCCCTTTACAGTGTGACTGCTGTCCTTTTTAAAGAAACAACAAAACACGGCACCTGAGTCAACACCTTGCGTGGAATCCTTGCATGTTTTCCCTGTGTTGTGTGTCCTGGTGCCTGCCTACCATAGCAGTTCAGGAAGTCTGGAAGTGTGGAAGAATCCCCTCTTGGGAGGTGGTGGTAGTCTCCTCAGTCATGAGTGGGACTTGGCACTGTGGAAATAATCAGGTGAACCAGAGGGGAGGTGGAACTGGACATTCGTTTCTGCAAATTAAAGCATTTGTTCAAAAATTCTCTTCACCTCTATCGTATGACCTCTGCCCAATACCATCTCTCCCAATTGGTTCCTGACATCTCTCTATTTCTTACACATAATCTAAATCAATGAAAAATAAATAGCGAAGGGCCTAGTGCACTGCCTCAATTGGCTAATCTGCCTTCAATTGCTGGGACACCAGTTTGTGTCCAACTATCCATTCTGCTCCCTGCATCTGTACCAGGAGTGGCCAACAACTCACGGTTCAGGTGCCAGGCGCTCCTGGCAGGTCCTGGTCTCAGACACGGAACAAAATCAAAGAAGCTAAGAACAAAAGCACTCCAGGAACAAAACCAAAAGTTCTGCCAAGTGGGATGATGGAAGAATGAACTACACGTATGAGTAGCTTCCAAAAAGACAGGGAATATTTATGACTGAAAGAAAGAGAATGAAAGTTCCTTTAATCTGCCTCTTGGGAACACAAGCAAATCCTTTTAAATTTTTTTAAATTTTTGTTGATTTTTTTATACAGTTGAGAAGGACGCATGCCCATGTGGGCTACTCATTAGAGTGGAAAGGATCAAGGAGTGGGGGATATTGGATGAGACTACTATTCCCAATTTCTCTTTCTTCTTCCTGTATCTGCGTAAGGGGGCAGAGAAGGGGAAACTGCACAGAGCCTCTCAGCTGTATCAGTACCTGGGGATATGGAATGGCCATTCAATATCATCCCAGGGGCCATGATGGGGAGTGTGATTGGAGGACAGTGTTTAGTGGTTTCAATAGTTCTGGAATGCTGTTTATTTTGTTGCTCCAAGGATGAGGAAATCCTTCCAATGTCCATTGGCTGATATAGCCCACCTTAGTTTCCATTCCCCTAGATACTTATTGCCAACACTTGACTGGGAGAGTTGTCCAATTTGTTTTGTCATCCATGCTCATAGATACTCTCTTCACCCCCTCAATGATCTTTCATGTCCCCCATGCGCTTCTGGCCATTCCATCCACTGCACAGGATTCAGTAACTGGGGAGGCCCAGTTCTGACACATGCTCTCTGGGGGCAGACCTGTGATTCTTCCTCCCATAATTGGAGTTTTGAATTGAGTAGCTCATTTGGGAGTGTCCCCAAAGAAACTATATCTGAGGTGATCCCAGACCTGATTCCTGTCTTAGTCCATCACCCGTATCAGCCTAAACATGTATTGGTGGTTGCAGTTGTTGGGTTGGTTCTGTCTCTATCCACATCCCTTACTCAAACCAATGGATGCTGTGGGCCAGCCCACCCCTGCCAACCACACATTTGGTCCTCATGTACACTAGGAGGAACTACAGCCCAGTTGGAGTGAATCCCAATAACCTCCACCAGGCTGGACCCCAGCCCTGGTTCTCATGCTCACCAGTGGGAACTGCAGCATACCCAGGTGGTGCCAACACTTTGCCTACTAAGCCCACTCGCTGTTTCATTCTTGCTCCTTCCATATGGTTCTGCAGTCTAGATTGATAGGATTTATCCCCAGTCCCAACACTTGTCATCTTACGCTGTGGCAAAACCTGACCAGCCTGCACTTACTCTGGCTCATGAATATACCAGTGGATTGAGTCACTTACTCCATGCTGACTCTCCTAACCTAACTCACATGAGGGCAATGTGTGTTGTAGCCCTGCACATCCTGGTCTGCCCCTGGTACCAGCTCTTGTGTTCACCAGAGGAACAGCATTAGACAGTGGTGAAATCACTGCTTGGCATGGTTTCCTGCCACACAATGTGACCATTCTTCATTTGAGGTGTCCATTTGGGCTGAAGGATCCATGTTTCTGGGTGTGATGGTGAGAGTGTTTCCAGGGAGATTAGCATGTAAATCAATGCAGCAAATAAAGAAGATCCACTCTCACCCTCACCAACTGTGCTGACCACCTCTGATTCACCGAAGCCTCAACAGAAAGAACAGGTGGAGGGAGAGTGAGTTCCCCTCTGTTCGTCTGGACATCCACCTTCTCTTCAAGGAACCACTGACTCTCCTCATTCTGTGGTCTTGACCTTGAGCTGGGAATTTGACTGTGGCCTTTGCCCTCCATTGACACCCCCAGGCCTTCCGTGGGTACTGGACTCCATCGCCAGCTCCTCTTCCCAGTGTGCAAATGTCTGACCTTGGATCACCTGATCTCCTTCATTCCCAGACACGATGACCTCAGCAAACAGATAAATATCCCAACATACAAAACTATTGCAAACGTTGGTGGTTAAATAGAATTAAGAAAGTAAGTTTATTTTAGTGTAGATTCTTTCATACACATGGAAAATGCATGTTATTTTAAAACCTATATACAGAACACAAAATCTTGTACCTTGAATAAACTGCTTTTAATTCATTTTTAAAGATTTATTTATTATTTTTATTACAAAGTCAGATATACAGAGAGGAGGAGAGACAGAGAAGAAGATCTTCTGTCCGATGGTTCACTCCACAAGTGAGCGCAACGGCCAATGCTATGCCAATCTGAAGCCAGGATCCAGGAACTTCTTTCCGAGTCTCCCACATGAGCGCAGGGTCACAAGGCTCTGGGTTGTCCTCAACTGCTTTCCCAGGCCACAAACAGGGAGCTGAATGGGAAGTGGAGCTGCCAGGATTAGAACCGGTGCCCATATGGGATCCTGGCGCGTTCAAGGCGAGGACTTTAGCCGCTAAGCCATGATGCCAGGCCCTTTTAATCTATTTTTAATAAGATTTGGAAAGGTCTTAGTACATTTACTCTCAGGTATGTCCTAATTGGCTCAATTCCTTTGTGAAACTCTGGCTGTTTAATGTTTAGCACAAACATGTAACACTGGCCAAAATTATCAATGAATAAATTGGTAAAATCCAGGGTCCAGCCCGGTAGCCAGGAGGCCAAAGTACTTGACTTGCACATGCCAGGAACCCACGTGGGTGCCAGTTCATGTTCTGGCAGCCCTGCTTCTCATTTAATTCCCTGCTTGTGGCCTGGGAAAGCAATAGAGGACGGCCCAAAGCCTTGGGACCCTGCACCCCTGTGGGAGACCCGACAGAAGCTCCTGGCTTCTAGCTTCACATTGGTTCAGCACAGGTGCTTGCAGCTATTTGGGGAATGCTTTCCAAGGCCACAAGCAGCTGGCTGGATGGGACATGGGGCTACTGGGATTAGAACCAGCACTCAAAAGCGATCCTGGTGCGTGCAAGGCAAGGATTTCAGCCAGTAGGCTACCACACCAGACCTTCTCTCTGTCTTGCTTCAGTTATCCAGCACAGTGTCCCTTTGAAATGTTGGAACTTGTCCTAATTTTGTGGTCAGTGGACAGCAGTGTACATCAGTGGATCTGGAAATCTTGGGGACTCAACAAGTGACTACCAGTGCCACTGTGTTGGCTCTGTCTTTCAAAAGTCTTGTTCTAATTATTGTGGGCTCATTTCAGAAGTGTTTTCTCAACTGCATCTAGACAATTCATCTGTTGAGGCTCAGGAGTGTAAGGTTCAGACAGATACAGTTTAATATCTGGTGGGAACAGTTCCAATGCAGGGGCCAGGCACCTGTGTCCCACAAGAGGCAAACCCTGGCACAACCCACTCTGAGGCCAGAGGCTGCTTCCCGAGCCTGGACACAGATAGAGGACCTGAGCTGCAGGAGGAGCCTGTCTGAATGAAGTGGGATGACCCCTTCCTGTCCTATCCATGTCCATACCACACCTTACCCAGGTGAGCTGAAGCCTCTCCTGGCACACTGGGCTGACACCCTGCAGGCCTTGTAAACTGTGGGCTAATTGCCCAGATGGATTTTCTGCAGCGCAATCCCCTTGCCCTTTAACTTTCAGCTGGTTGCCTTTTTAATGTTCCACCTATCGCTTGTCTTATACTCGTGGTCCCTTGTCTTATCATTCAAACAGAGCACAGTGATGGGTCACAGGCTCTTAGCTTTCATACAGATTTCTGCCAGTGAGTAGAAAGCAGGCAGGGAGGACATCATCCTTGTGGAGGTGATAGTGCAGGTCACCTCTCTGCCACCACGTTATGCACCTCCAGAACGCACAGTGTTCAGGTCCGGCAATGGGGCTGGAGATCTAATCCAGGAGAGCTGGGATCAGAGCTGGCTACCCTGCCTGGGGCTCCTCTTGGGTTCCATCCTTTGCCCCAACAGCAGGACAGACATCTTGAGTCTTCTGAGACATGGTTCCCCCCTCACTGTCATTCCCTCTGTGACAGCCACATTCTGTCACCACAGCTGGCCACCTTAGTGCCTTGGTCTGTTTGTGCTGATGTAACAGAATGGCTGAGATGGAGCAATTTGTGAAGACCAGAGACTTCCTTCTGGCAGCCTCCAGGCTGGGAGGGCCAAGCCCAAGGGGCCCACATATGTAAAGAGTCTTCTTGTGGCAAATGTTCCACAGCCAAGGGCAGACAGTAAGAAAATGTCCGAGGAGACTGTGATCCAAAGCACTTCTCCAACATACAGAACCCCCACTATGGTGGCAGTGATTGAAAACAAGAATTATTTATTTGAAAGAACTATGGAGAGAGAGAAAGAATAGGAGAGCAAGAGCTAGAGCAAGAGAGTGAGAGAGTGTGAGAGACAGAGGGACAGAATCTTCTGGCTGCTGCTGCACTCCCCAGATGGCAGCAACAACCACAGCTAATGCAGGCCAAGGCCAGGAGCTTCATCCTGCTCTCCCATCACGGTGTCAGGACCCCATCTTCTGCTGCTTTCCTAGACCAGAAGCAGGGAGCTGGATCACAAGTGGAACTGGCTTTTGGTTTTGAGCTTTGAAGGAGTCCAGAGCCCTAAGACTCCATGGCCCCTTAAAGGCCCTGCCTCTGCCTTGCAGAGGAACTGGTCACTCCAATCAGATGCATCCAAAGCCAGCTGCCTGGCAGGGAGGCTCTTGTGTACCTGCCCCCTTGCTGGAGCAGAATAGGATCAGCTACTTTACATAATCCTTAAACAGTTGACCCAGATTCAGTTCCTCCTGTAAGGGAGGTCACCCTTACTGCCCCTGCTGTGGGAGTTCACCATTGGGACCTGGCCCAGCAACATGTCTTCCCAGAACCCAGAGTGGGAGGTGGTGCTATAGCTGCTCCTTCTTGGGATGAGGCCTGAGTCAAGCACACAGACAGTAGAGGGAAGTGCATGGCACTTTAAAGGCACGTCTGCCAAGGGCTTGCTAACTCCTGTGGCCCTGCAGAGGGTAGCCCTGTGTGGGAGCCTCAAGGAGGGCTTGCGGATACCACCAGTCCCAGGTCAACACTTGACTTGGATCTGCACAGACCTCCAACTGTCCAGCCAGCACTGGCAGTTACCAGGTTCATTCCTGAGGGTGGGGCAGAGCAGAGCACTGCCTCCTGGGGCAGCCTGGGTTGGAGGTGGGGCTGGTAGGGGCGGGTTCACAGCTGGTTACTCCCCCTGGCTATTCCCAAACCAAGCATAAAAGTCCCAGGGTCTTTCCTGAAAGCCCAATTGCCACCACTGCAGCACCAGCAGCACCATGCCTATGACCCTGGGCTACTGGGAGCTCCGCGGGGTGAGCTAAGGGCTTGCTCTGCTGATGGGACATGGGCATGGATATGGGATGGGACAGAGGGCACAGAACAGCTGGGGAGGCTTTAGGTCTTCATTTGTTTTGGAACTTCCTTGCTTCTCCTCCTCCTAGGCTGCCAGGAAATCCTGATGCAAGCATCCCAGTGTGGAGAAGGGGCAGAAGGAAAAAGGGATGCTATTAGGTGTAGAGTAGGGCTCCCCTGGAGGAGATGAGGGCAACCTTTGGAGTCCCTCCAGCTCTGACCCCTGGCTCTGGTGTCTCCCCCAGTTGGCTTTGCCCATCCGCCTGCTCCTGGAATACACTGGCACCAGCTATGAGGAAAAGCATTACAGAATGGGAGACGGTATGGTTCTGCCTGCTCTGACCTCTGTCTACTGCTTCTGTCATCTAGTAACCCCTGCCTGGCCACCTGCATATCACCTGTGCAGACCTCAACCCCTGGAAGCAGAGCCTGCCCTTCCTGGTCCCTGAGGGTGCAGTGTGGCCTCCCAGGGCATGGCTCTGGGAAGGGGTGCTGGGAACCTGCTTTCAGCATTGGGTCCTTTCCCACACTTCCCAAAAGCTTTGGAGTCAATAACCCCATAGAATCATTATTCCCTTTCTCCAGACCTTGAATGTGATATTAGGGACTCAGATCCCACATGCCCTCCTCAGGGGGTCTTGCCCCTGACTCTCATGAGGGGAGGCTGCACACGGGGGAGGTTTTGTTTCACTTGGTCTTCTCCACAGCTCCCGACTATGACCGAAGCCAGTGGCTAAATGAGAAATTCAAGCTGGGCCTGGACTTCCCCAATGTACGTGCAGGGGATGGGGTGTTGGAGGGAGTGGGGTCGTGAATGGTGTCTCTGTCTCCACATCCTTCCCATGGTTAGAGGGTTCAGGACCAGGACCTGTGCTCAACCACTGTCATCCCTGGTTCTCTGCAGTCTTTCCCTGAGCTTCTATGTCACAGCTCACTCATGCCTTGTGCAGAGATTGTCTCCAGGACCTGCCATGGGCCAGGCACAGAGGGTGCCAGGGATCCTGTGTGCTCTTACTCAGGTCAGGGGATGCTGGGCCCCTGGGAGCCCAGCCGACTTCCCTCCTCCCTCCCCAGCTGCCCTACCTGATTGACGGCACTCACAAGCTCACCCAGAGCAATGCCATCGTGCGCTATCTCGGCCGCAAGCACAACCTGTGTAAGTGGGGCTGGCTGAGGGTGTGGGGCTGTGGCTGTGCCCTGGGCCTGGCTGGGTGGGATGCTGAGGGTGTCTGCTGTGTGTGCTGCAGGTGGGGAGACGGAAGAGGAGAAGATTCGTGTGGACATTTTGGAGAACCAGGTTATGGACAACCGCTGGCAACTGGTGGCAATCTGCTTCAACCCTGACTTTGTGAGTGCCCAAGAGGATTGGATCTGGCAGATTCAATACCAAGCTGATTCTTGTGTTCTCATCTGTACTGCTCCTGTTTGTCTCTGAATTCCCTATGAAGTCTGACTGCCTGAGCAATTTACTATATTGTGAAAACATTGAATCTGTACTCTTTAAGTCTGTTCTAAAAGAAAGATTATGATTAATTTCCACAGCCCTACACAAAGTTACAATGCTTCTGAGTGAGCAGTCATGTCTAAGACAGGAAATTCACTTCTGTGTCTAACTCTTGACCCTTATCATGACCAGCATTCAATGTGTTCCCTTTATATGCTCGTCCCTGGATGGAAAGTCCATTACGTGAGTTATATCAGTTTGAGAAGGGAGCATCCTTAGGCATGTCCCCATAGGGAAAAGCAGCTGTCCCCACTAGGCAACCCAGGGTCAGCCTGAAGCCCAGAGGCACTGAGTTCCATCATTTCACATCACATTCTCATCCTTTGTGAACTGTGAACATTCCTGCCACGCTCAGGGGAAATGGCTGCTCCCTCAGCCAGCGGGGCCATGTGCAGCCCTGGGCAGGCAGACCCTCTCCTGCAAAATCGTGTCTGTGGGTGCTGACAGCTGTTTGCTCCCTCAGGAAAAGCTGAAGCCTGACTACCTGAAGGGCCTCCCAGACAAGCTGACACTGTACTCCCAGTTCCTGGGGAAGCAGCCCTGGTTTGCAGGGGACAAGGTGAGGCAGAGGGACGGAGGGAGACAGGAGCAGGGGGCATGGGCGATCTATCGCTAAGTCCCTGTCTCCCTCCTCCTGGCTTCTGCAGATCACCATTGCCGATTTCCTCGTCTATGATGTCCTCGACCAGAACCGTATTTTTGCTCCTGGTTGCCTGGATGTGTTCCCAAACCTGAAGGATTTCATGGCTCGATTTGAGGTGAATCCCCAACCCTCCTCTCAGCCTCTTCTGGTTCCCTCATTCTGTTCGAGTCCTGGAGCTCTGCTACACACCAACCCCTGACAGCAGGACTCAGAGTTAGCATCCTGCACCTGCTGTGTCCAGTGTATCTCTACAAGTTGTCTCTCCCAATTGATTCATAAGGAATACTGAGTCAGCATGGGAAAAGCCATTTATCAGGGTCCCAGAGCCCGTCACAGCTGTGCTGGGCTCCCAGGAACCTCTGGTGTGTATGAACAACAGTCAGGACTTCTCTGATTTTTGTGCTAAACTGAGCAGCCTCAGACCCTTGTCTAGTCTGGTGTCCCATGCCAGGAGACTATAGGAGAGGCCAGACTTTGAGCAGTGTGTGTTTGTAGCTGGTCTCAGCTGAACTGAGACCGGGTAGGGTGGATTCAGTGTCAGAGACACGCACAGTCCATGTGTTTGATCTCTAGAGCACATTGAACCAGTGAGATCCCCATGTGCAGGCACTGAGCTCCCAGCACAACTGTGGATTCTCTGCTGGGGAGACTTGATTTGTTTGATGATGTAGGTTTTCTTTCTCCTTCGATGCCTCTTGTTTCATTCTAGTATCCCACATGTTCTGCCTGTGAGATAGGGCAGCTGCTTACCATTTTGTTTATGCCTGTGCAAAGGTGACTCCATGCTGGAACTGAACCAGTTAGAGAACTGCAAACTCAGCAGTTTGGAGATGGAGGAGCAACAGCTCTTGGTTACTGAGGAGCACAGCCTGGGCCTCACTTCACAGGATCACAGGGACCACCTGGGACTCCATGCATGCTCACAACAAAGCCTACTTGGTTACAGATTTGGGAGTATGAGGCATTAGTCCAACAAGCTGTTCAGTATGCAATGTTTGTCCTGTTCTCCTCCCCACGCAGAGATGTGCTGTCCCAGTTCCTTCTTATCAGCTCTGGGTGAAGTCTAAGCCTGTGGCCTTGGGCATTATGTAACAGTTGGCTCAGCTCTGTGTGCCTGAAAGGAGAGACTGGACATAGATTAGATATGAGCTGGACCATGCGGTACCCAGGGCCAGGCCCATTAGGGTTAGAACAGTCTGGGTCCCCCTGAATTGTTGAGAACCTGCACGGTGCTGTCAGCCCTGGCATGTAGGTGCATGACCCAGGAGTGTGCTTGGTGCTGCTCACTATAACAGGTCTCAGGATGAGGAGAATTGAGATGCAGTGAGGTTGACCTGAGATACCAAGTGGAGGAGTTAGGACTCCCTGTGTCAGGGGGAGGATTGGTGTCTGGCCTTGCCTTCCTTTGCTGCTGCACCTCCTCCCATTCCCCACAGTGAGGGCCTGCTGAGTCACTGGGTAAGATCAGGACTGCTCTGTAGGCTGCCCTGACATGGTCTCAGCCCCTTTTCCTGATGGACGTCCCTGCTCTGTGTGCAATGCTGTGCATCGGGCAGCCTCACTGTGGATAAGGAGAGTGTGCAGCAGAGCCTATGTGGGTAGGGAAGTGAGCAGAACAGTTAGGAGAGGGGCAGTGGCAGGCTGTGTCATACTCTGCCTGCTCAGTGTTTGACTGTGAGAAAATTCCTGAATGGCTGTGCCCATCAAGTCTCCCTTGAGACATGGTGGCCAGGAGTCAATCATGCTAGACGTGGAGCGACCTCTGAACCAGCACTGACGTTTCCCATGGCTACAAAGGACCCAGTTCTAGCGTCTCCCTGCTGATCCATCTTTTGAGGTGATGGAGGGAGGTGTCTGTGTTAAAGCATGAAGTCCCCTGGGCTGTGGTCCTATGGAGATGTCAGTGCAGCCAGCACAGCCCTGAGAGTGGCCGCTGTTGGTCCCACTGGTCTGTGCCTACACTGGGGCTGAGGGAACCCCAGGAGACCACGGACTCTGAGCTCTGCTCCTGTTTCTGCCCCTACAGGGCCTGCCAAAAATCGCTGCCTACTTGAAGTCCAGCCGCTTCATCAAAGTCCCTCTGTTTTTAAAGAGTGCCACATGGACTGGAAAATAAGGCTCTGAAGTGAAGTGAGAGGGGCTGATGGGTGCTCAGGCCCCCTGCTCTGCCTCAGCCTTCAGTCCTCTCCTTCCACAGCCTCCTCCTCCCTAACCTGCTGCCTCCTGTCCTCTAAGCCAGCCCCTCCCATTGAGGTCTGGCCATCCTCAGCTCTGCCCTCTTCTTCAGCCATGGCCCCCTGGGCTGCTCCTCCTGCCAATAAACAGTCCCCATCTCTGCTGTGAGCTCTCCAAACAGCCAGAGTTCGCTGCACCTGTGCCAGATGGGCTCCCCCATGAGGTCTCCCTGGTACTGGCTGTGACCCAGGAAACCCTTGAACTTCAGTCTGGACCTGTCCTCTTCCCTGGGAACCCTGACTTGGCACTGACCATGCTGGATTCTGTGGTTTTCTTTGTTCTGCTGCTATAGCAGGGCCTAGGGAAGCAACATGCTGTGTGAGTGTCTGGTCAGGCTGGATGCCCTGGTGTCTTGGTCATTTCTGTGCCCTGTGCATGTTGGTCTGCTCCTCACCTTAGGTTTCTCCCTTCCCTGGATTCCTCATTCATTCACCCTGAAGCTCCCCTGCAGCTGTGCTGTTTCTGAGAGCTGCGGGCCTGATGGGGAAGGGGCTGGCAGGCCTTGGACAGATCCCCTCTGGGACACTTCCCTGGATGCTCCCACTAACGTAGTTATTCCTCATCTGTTTTGTCAGAATGTTGCTCTCAATAAAGCATATCCCTTTACAGTGTGACTGCTGTCCTTTTTAAAGAAACAACAAAACACGGCACCTGAGTCAACACCTTGCGTGGAATCCTTGCATGTTTTCCCTGTGTTGTGTGTCCTGGTGCCTGCCTACCATAGCAGTTCAGGAAGTCTGGAAGTGTGGAAGAATCCCCTCTTGGGAGGTGGTGGCAGTCTCCTCAGCCATGAGTGGGACTTGGCACTGTGGAAATAATCAGGTGAACCAGAGGGGAGGTGGAACTGGACATTCGTTTCTGCAAATTAAAGCATTTGTTCAAAAATTCTCTTCACCTCTATCGTATGACCTCTGCCCAATACCATCTCTCCCAATTGGTTCCTGTCATCTCCCTATTTCTTACACATAATCTAAATCAATGAAAAATAAATAACGCAGGGCCTAGTGCACTGCCTCAATTGGCTAATCTTCTCCCTTCAAGTGCTGGGACACCATATGGGCACCAGTTTGTGTCCAGCTTCCTGTCCAGTCCCTTCTTAAGGCCTGGCAAAGCAGCAGAGGATGGTCTAAAGCCTTTGAAACCCCGTGCACCTGTGTGGGAGAGTGGAAGAAGCTCCTGGTTCCTGGCTTCGGATCAACTCAGCTCTGGCTGTTTGGCCACTTGGGGAGTGAACCAGCAGATGGAACATCTTTCTCTGTCTCTTATTCTCTCTGTAATTCTGACTTTCCAATAAAAATGAATAAATATTTAAAGAAAAAAGTGATAAAAAGGGAAGTAATATGGTGGTGGTGCTGGAAAAAGACGTTTGAGTTTAGACTGTGCTGTCCTAGTCCCCAGTTCTGCTTCATTGACTCCTGTGAGAATTTTTTTTGTTACTTGCCAGTATGACCTGGAGCTGAGGTGAGACAAGCTATGCCACACTGGGTCATAGCACACACCAGCACATGAAATACTTGGTGTGTATGTGTGAGGGAGGGTGAGCCCAGCAGTGAGGCAATGCTGTGCTGTCTCCCCTTGGGGGGACACTGCTCCTGCTGATGAGCAGGTGAACTGCAACTTGATGTCAACCAGGATGGGCTGAGTACAACACCCACTGACCTGCATGTAACCTGGGTTAAGGAGAGAGCCAGGCTGGGATAAGTGACTAAATCCATCAGTGCATGCATGAGTCAGAATAAGTGCAGGCTGGCTGGGCTTTGCCACAGCATTGGGTAGCAAGTGCTAGGAAAAGGGGCAAGTCCTCTCAAGCTAAATTGCAGAATCACCAGGAAGAAGCAAAAGTGGAGCTGAGAGTAAGTCTAATAGGGAAACTGTTGACACCTCTCTGATGGGTTGTAGCTCCCATAGGTGAACATGAGAACCAAGGCTGGGTGTAGACCAGTCTTGGACAGGCTGTAGCACTCACTAGCAGAACTGTGAGCTAGATAATGGGGTCAGTTGGGTTGAGCAATCCTGAAGCACCATTGAAGTGTATGAGAGACAAATGGGATGCAGGACAGACTGGACCAGTCTGCTGCACACACTGTCATGTGTAGGAACCAGGGCTGGGGGCAGTCCTGGAGGGGGTTATTGGGGGTTTCTCTGACTACACAGCTGTTTCTACTGGTATATAAGAGAACTGAGTGTGTGATGGGCAGGGTTGGGCTGTGCCATGGTACCCATTGTTTGCATATGAGATGGGGCTGGAGACAGAAACTGCAGCCACCAGTGTGTGTGTAGGATGATGTGGGCGATGAACTGAGCTGGACCCTGCATTGGCTGGCAGACACAACAATCAGGTCTGGGGCACCTGCTGGACTCAGAACTATAACCACTGTCAAAATCACAGGATCTGTGGTCTCACCACAGAGAGCATATGTTAGAACTGGGCCTGTTTGGTTGCTGAAGACTGCACAGTGGATGGTGTGACCAAATGTACATGGGATCATGACAGGTAATTGAAGCCTGCAGAGAACATCTAGTACCAAGGATGGCTGAACAAATTGGACAACTTTGGCAGCCAAGTGTTGACAGCAATTATCAAGGTGAATGGAGACTCTAAGGTGGGCTATGTCAGCCAATGGGCCTTGGAAGGATTTCCTCATCCTTGGAGCAACAAAATCAGAACTATTGAAACCACTTGAACATTTGAACACTGTCCTCAGGCCACGCTCACATGGGGGACCCTGGAATGACATTAGGTAGCTGGCCCCCTCCTATGGGTACTGATGCGATTTGGATGCTGTATGTGGCTTCTCCTCTTCTCTGCCCTCTTTCCCCAAACACATGAAGAAGAAAAAGAAAATTGGAAACAGAAGTCTCATCCAATATCCCCTACTC